GGCATTGGTTTCTGCTCTTCAGAGAAGCCTCTTAAACATCTCTACCAACCTGCAAACTTTGCAGCAGCAAATCCCTTAGGACTTGAGAAATGATACAAATCTCAATGTTTCAGATGTTTAGTTCTGGCCTAACCTCCACACAGTTATGTTTAGAGGAGAAAAAACCAAACTACTTTGCACCTTTGTTCGAGCTGTAAAGTCACAAACCACAGACTTGCAATATCCAAATGGGATCTCCAGCCTTCAAAAGGGATGTGGCTATGGTGTAGCCTACTTGACTGTGCTTGGAAGCTTCTTGCTGTCAAGTTTTAGCATCTGCTGGGTGTTCAAATGAGTGAGAAATAACCTGGAAATGGAGAATTATCTCCTTTTATTTTTTTGTGAAGACAACAAGAGTTTTTTCTAATGCACACGCAGTTTAACCTTTGGAAAGGGAAGATGGCCAGTGACCAGTAAAGCAGAACTGTTGCATACCTTGACTTGCCTTCCTCATTTCTCCTCCTGGAGCCTGTGGTTGAGTTCATTCCTTCTCTACCTGCCTTTGCCTTCCATATATTTTTAGTAAAACAAAAACAAATGAAATATTTTGCACTGTTCCTTTTGCTCTCTTCCCTCCTCCAGCCAATGTAAAATAGCAAACCTTACAAACTCTTGGTTTTTCATTATGCAACTTGAGCTGTTCCAGTTGTCTTCGTTCCTGTACTTGGGACCTGTTTTTGCTGCCTCTGACCTGGCAGAATGAAGTGCTGTGGAGCAGGAACTTGGACACTAGTGACCTGTTTTCCTGTTCATAAAGCTGAGCCATATGTACATAATCTAGAGTTTTTGGTTTTTTTCCTAGTTTTGCACTTTTATAGCCTATTTTTTGAAGATGAATTCACTTGGAAAATGGTTGATCTATTTTTTTGCGTGATCCTTCACCGAGTCTGATACAACTCAAGCTGTACCTGTCCTCTGCCTCAGCCCACCCAGGGCTGCTTTAACATGTTCCAGCCAACAGACTTAAGACTTACTTGGTTCTAATCTGCCTTCATGCTGGTACAGTTTCCCTCGAGGGTTCTTTTTGGGGTTGTTTTTTTTTTTTGTTGTTGTTTTGTTTTTGGTTTTTTTTGTTTTTTTTTGTTTTTGGGTTTTTTTTGTTTTTTTTTTTTCTTTGCTTTGGTTTTGGTAGATATCTTGGGGTTGGAAGGGAAAAATGAACCTGAAGACTCTTCCATGGCAGCACCACCTTGTGCTTCAGAACACACTCTGCCCATCAGTATTAACTATTGGGATACTACTGGTTTTGTATGTTTCTTTGGAAATAACAGTTCATATATAGAGGTACAAATTGTTGATTTTTTTTTTTTTAAAAAAAATATGTATTTATTTCATTCCATTTTGTTCTATTTTAATTGTTGGAACCAGAAGTCGTCAAGCAGTAGACACACAGTACTCATTTAATTTATGATGTATTTCACTTTAGCTGAGTATATTATTACATGTGGATGTAAATATAGACTTGGTGTTTTGCAAAACTGGTTTCTGTGTCTTCCTTTTTAAAGCTGAAAAAGGAGGTGCCTGGAATTTCATCTTGAATTGACCTTTCCTGGGAGAGAGAGGGAGAAACTGCCAATAACCAAACCCAAATTCATGCCATGTTCAGTTGTTAGATGAAAATACTGAGTCACTCCCCAGAAAATCATCTGTGAGCAAAGCTTAAAATAATGAAGAAACCTTTTGTTTCTTCTCTTTTGGTTATTTTCCTTCAAGGAAGGAAATTGAGTTATTGGATGCAATTTTTGTGGTAATAATATGAGGGGAGTATGGGGTTTATTGTAGCTTTATTTTTTTTTTTTTTTTTTTTTGGTGAGGCTTTGGAATTTGGATTAAATTAGACTTCAACTTTTTTTGAAACCACATATGTTCTGAGAGTGTTTTAGGTCTGTTGTGTTCTTGGAACTTGACTGAGGTGTCAGACCTCACCACCATCTCTGACCACAGCTCAAAACGAGCTTGTAAGAAGTTAGGAAAGAATTGGGAAGAAAAGCAAGTCCTCAGCTGAAAGCTCCAATGTGAATCAGCCACATTTAAGGGCACCAAGTGAGTGGGCACAGCCTCAGCCTCACTGATGTCACTCCCAGGCTCAGCTGGGCTGGTACTACTCGTGGTGAGGTTTGGAGGAGTAGGTTGGGCCTGTCCCTTGTCTTCAGTGAGAGCAGTGCTGGGGAGGATGGAACCTCCAAGTGTGGGAGCTAAAGGACAAAAGGTTGTGGAAATGAAATGATGAGTCCCTTATGGTGCACAAATGGGGAGTCTTGGAGTGTCACTGCTGATGTCATGCTCTGGGTTTGGGGTGATACTCTGTGTGGTGCCAACGTGGTCAGAGAGAACAAATGTGTGAACTTTACAATCATTTACAAGCCATGGCTTTCCTTTGGTGCTTTCAGGGGTGCTAAGGGAGCTTTTGATGAGTTTCAGGTAAACTGTACAGACCTGGAGGCAACAGATGTGGTTCCAGTGACCATAGGGTGACCCAAGCACTGGAACAAATTGCCCAGAGAGGTCATGGATTGTCCCTCACTGGAGATTCTTCAGATCTGTCTGGATGCAATCCTGTGCCATGTGCTCTGGGCTGACCCTGCTTGAGCAGAGGTTGGACCAGATGACCCACTGTGGTCCCTTCCAGCCTGAACGGTTCTGATTCTCGTTGCTAACCTGCACTGTCAGGCTCTGGTTGTTGCCTCCAAGCAGAGACCTGAGGACTTTGAGCACTGCAGACTGGTGG